TCGCTGAACTTCCTTGACATTTCGAGGGCTACCCATGTCGATGATGGCTTGGCATTTGTCGGGATTAGCTTGGATGCCCCTTTCAGATAACATAAATCCCAAAAGCTTGCCCTCCGCGACACCAAATATGCACTTCTCGGGATTAAACTACATACCATGCTTCCTGGCCTCCCTGAATACCTCCCGCAGATGGGCAAGATGTTGTTCCAATACTGTGGACTTAACCACTATGTCATCCACATATACCTCCAGGCATTTATCCACTTGTTTTTCAAAAATTTTATTCATAAGTCTCTGGTATGTTGCACCTGCATTCTTCAAGCCGAATGGCATTACCCGGTAACAAAAATTTGCTTAGTCAGTGATGAATGCAGTTTTTTCCTCATCTGGTGGATACATTCGGATTTGGTTATATCCATAGTAGGCATCTAAGAAACTCAACATTTTGTGGCCTGTTGCACCGTCCACTAAGGCGTCAATGCTCGGGAGAGGGTAAGCATCTTTTGGGCATGCTTTGTTTAGATCCGTGTAGTCGGTACACATTCGCTATTTACCATTTGCTTTTTTTACCATGACTACATTGGCCAACCAGGTAGAATATCTGACTTCTCGGATAAAACTGGCCTATAGTAACTTAGCAGTTTCTTCTTTTACAGCTTTTGCTCTGTCGCCTCCTACTTTCCTTTTCTTTTGTGCCACTAGTTTTGCTACTTTATAAACCGAGAGATGATGACAAAGAAATGCTGGATCAATTCCGGGCATGTCTGAAGCTGACCAGGCAAATAGATCAGCATTTCGTATCAACATTTCGTGGAGCTCCTGTCTTTCTTGGCCAGTTAGGCCGACTCCTAAATAAGTAACCTGCTCGAGCTTCGGTCCAAGCTGAAAAGGTTGCTTACTTTCATTGGGCTCGACCCGACACCCTTCGTCAGTCCTAAGATCAAGCTCAATATCCAAGTTCTCCCCAAACCTAGGGGTGACAATGTTGACATCCCGTCCGTGTTATTGGAGTGGTTTGATGCATAGGCTTGCAAAATAGCACTCTCTCGCTGTCTTCTGATCAGCATGAACTGTGACTATTCAGTCCCTTTCGGATGGAAATTTCATAGCCAAATGTGGAGTAGATACTATGGCTTTAAGTTTGTTAAGGGATGGCCTGCCGAGTAATATGTTGTACGAGGTATTCGCGTGAACTACTAGGTACGTGACCTTGATGCGCTTTCCTTCATGCCCTGATCCAAATGAGGTATAGAGATCAATACAACCCCGAGTCTCTACCCGTTCTCCAGAAAAACTAAGGGTTCTCGGTATTCTTTAAGTTCTTCTTCTGGTATTCCCAGTTGCTTAAAAGTATTCCAGTAGAGGATGTTAGCAGAACTCCCCTGATCAATAAGTGTTTTCCGGACAGTGCAGTTGAGAATGTCTACACTTATCACCATGGGGTCGTCTTGTACAGGGTCCACTCCTTAAAAATCTTCATCGGTAAATGTAATAGGGGGATCCGAATCCTACTACCAAGTGAGATGTTGTTGACTGATCTGACTTGCCTCAAATGTCTCTTTCTGGCCGAATGGGTAGGTCCTCCCCCGGCAAACCCTCCAGCTATGGTACTAATGACCTTTTTAGTATACTTCTTACGTTCATTGTATCGTCTAGGTTGAGGTTCCCTGGACCTACTCCTCTGTCGTTCAAGTCTCTTGTCATCGTATCTCTTTGATGACTCAGGGTAATGGTCTCTTCCTCTATTGGATTGACTGACAGGATTTGTCTGCACAAAATCTTTTAAATGTCCTTTCTTTATTAATTCCTCTATTTTATCTTTCAGCGCTGTGCACTCTTCGGTGATATGACTCCTGTTCTGATGGTATCGTCAAGCCTTGCTTTTATCTGCCCGAGGAAGGGTGTTGGCACGTCTAGGCATTCTCAGTATTTCTGTGGTCAATGCTTGATCTAGTACTCTAGACCGATTAGTTTTGAGCGTAGTGTAGGAAGGATATTTGGGTCCCCTGGACAGCCTTTCAAGTTCATTTCTTCTCTCCTTATTTTCTTGCCTAAACTTGAAAGTTTCTCTCCTGTCTGTATTTTTTGAATTGGACCCCTGATCCATCCGTACCTGGTTTCGGTACTCATACAATTCCTCCATCTGCATATACTTGGCAGCCTTGCTTCTCAACTCGTCTAGGTCAACATGTGGTTTTTTGTAGATGCTGTTAACAAAAGCATAAAAAAAAAATTTCACGCAATGATTAATAGAGGTAGAAAAGTTTAAATTTAATTTAATTTCAAATTTAATAGGAGCTTAAGTAATATAAAGGTATCTTATTTTAATATAAATATATATATATATATATATAATTTAATGATTAATAAATTTAAGTTTTTGTAAATAATCATATCTGTATATATAAAAAATTATTTAAAATATTAATTTTAAAAAAATATTTTAACTATAAATAATATGTATCCTTTTTAAAGATGTAATGGGTTAGAATATTTTTTGTACTCTAAATTTATTATGTTGATGTTTAGTAAAAAAAAAATGTATTAAAATAATAAAAATTTAGTAAAATTATAATTTATTTGAAAATAACAGAAATAATATATTAATTATTATGAATTTAATATATAAACAAATATATTGGTGAAAAATTAAAAGTTTATATAAGATAACAAGAGAAATTTTACAAATATAAATATAAATATTTATAAAAAATATAAAATTTTATATTAGGTAAAAAAATAAAAATTAAATATCAATCATTATTTTCAAAATTTAGAAAAAAATTAACAAAAAAAAAACACAAAGTAAAATCATTGCACTAAAAAAATATAATATATCATCTTTATTATTAAACAATTTTAATATTTAAAAAATACACATGATAAGCCATGAAAGAAAGTAGTTATATTAAATGTTTTACTTCTTAGATACAATGCTCTCATTTATAATATAGAAGTTAATTGTATTATTAAGATATTAGTTTGAACCAAAATAATTTAACACAAAGGTTTAAACTTATTTAACTTTAAGATAATTTGTAACTTCATATTTTTTTGTTAATTTTACATAGTTTTAAATTATGTTTTAAAATACTATAACTTTTTAAATAGTTGCAATTCATTTTTAAAACTTTGCTATAGAATTTTTTTTAAAATACTTATGCAATAAATTTATAGAAAATAAAGATAACTAATATTAAAAAAAATTAATTAAAATATATATTTAATTCTATAAATGAAACTTGCTTATAAATTAATTTATATATTTAAAAAAAACTTATATTTTAGTCTTTCACAAATGTTTTTAAAGAAGTCTCATATTTTACTTCATACTTTTTAAATTAAAAGAATAAATAAAAATAGTGATAATAAAAAAGTAAAAAATAATTATAATTTTTTATAAATGTACCAAGATCATAAGAAAAAGATCTTTTGACTTTAGACACGATTCGGGAGACATTATCAAAATTTGAGATATTAAGATAATGATGATAAAAAAAAAAATACAAATTGTTATGAGAATATGATGGACCAAACAAACAGTAATAATTGAGAAGAAAATATCAGAAGTGATATTTACGTAAAGACGAATTAAGATATAAAATCTTCTCAGAATAATTTTTAATTGAATTTAAAGTGTAAAATAAAAAAATATTAACTTGTATAATGAAGCTAGACGTCATGAATTGAAAATATATAGAAAAAAAAATACGAAGTTTTTTTTTGAAAAATCTAAAATATTTTTTTGAAGATGAAGAAGAATGTCACCCAAAACTGATATAAAATATAACTATAATGATAAAAACAAAATTATACATAAATTCTCATATAAGAACTGATATATATTTTTTTTTTCTATTTATAAGAAATAAATTACAAGAATAAATTTTATATAAAAATTAAAAAATAATTTGAACCTTGTTGATAACGGAGCCACGTTGAATAATTATTTGACAAGTAGCAAAGAAAGTTAACATCCTAATAAGTATTATAATAATAAAAATAAAATTAAAAATAATTATTGTATAAAAATTGATATATAATTTTTTTACTTATAGAAATTAAATTACAAAAAGTAAATCTTATTTAAGGATTAAAAGTTTATTTAACCTTTTTAAAATTTTGTTATAGAATTTTTTGAAATCTTTTTCCAATAAATTTAAGGGAAATAAATGTGACTAATATTAAATAAAATTTTAATTAAAATATATATTTAGTTCTATAATTGACACTTAGTAATTAAAATTACATTTTAGGATTTTAACAAATATTTTATTATATACGTATGAAATCAATTTCCTTAACCCCTCGCATGTATTCACATGTTTAGCTCTCTACGTTTCAATGTGGGTGATGTAGCAAATTGAATTTCATCTTAGTCTTTCACGAATAAACATGTTAAATAGCTACATTTATGCTTATAATAACCGAAAAGAAATGAGTAAGTAAATCATGAAAGAACACATTGGAGTCCATTAAAAAAGTTCGGTGCTGAGATAATGGGCAACGTAATTGCTACACATTTGACAACATCTAATTCATTATAAGCATAGCCATAGAATTGTCATCAAACTGATGTGCTCTCAACAATGATAATTATAAAGAGGACACACTGCTAAACATGCAATTTGTGGATGATCAGTTCACAAGTTCATTTGAGACATGAGTTATGCAAGAATCATTCATGCATTGATTAAAGAGAAGCTAAAAATATTACAAGTAAAAGGAATACTAGCAAAACACACTCTTTTAAATACACTTTTTATGATTAGTCAAATTTTAAAAAAGTCAAAATAATTTTTAAAGAGTAATCAACTTATATAGCAAATATTTTGATTTTTAAAAAATAACTAATCAGATGAAATGTGTGTTTAAAAGAGTGTCTTCCCTAACATTTATCTTGTTGGTAAAGAAATCAAGCCACAGCCATTGTGGTAAGACGTACTAGTAAAAGAAACTTGTAATTAGGTAAGTATAGACATGCTTCTTGAATAGGTGACCTATGGGTGATGAATAATGGGAATCAAGGATAGTCCATTTTGTCTTTTTGCAGTTAACCCATATGACTCACTCATGTCAAGTTCTTCATGCTTGGTTCCATCAGGAAGCTTCCAATCAAAATGATAAAGCAACTGAGCAAGTGGCAGCTCAATGTCAGCTATGGCAAATGCAATGCCTGGACACATCCTTCTTCCAGCACCAAATGGAATAAATTCAAAGTTTGTGCCTTTGTAATCTATTGAGCTACCCAAAAATCTCTCTGGCTTAAAAGTGTTAGCTTCAGTCCAATACTTAGCATCTCTTCCAATAGCCCAAGCATTAATGAGGACCCTGGTCCTAGCAGCTACATCATATCCATTGATTTCACATTTTTCCTTGCTTTCTCTTGGAAGTAACAATGGTGTAGGTGGGTGTAGCCTCATGGTTTCCTTGATGACAGATTTTAAGTATATCAATTGGTCCATGTCACTCTCATCCACATGCCCCTTGCAATCAAACACCCTTCTCACCTCAGCTTGTGCTTCTTCCATCACCCTTGGATTTTTCACCATTTCTGACATGGCCCATTCCACAACTGCTGATGATGTTTCTGTTCCAGCGCTAAAGACATCCTGCAAATCAATGGACTAAGGAACTGTGATAGAAATAATATGCATGCATTCATAAGTTGATGTCATGGGCTGTTGAAGAGAGTTCTTTCTGACAAGTTCTTAATACACTAATAAAGAATTAATTAATGTAAAAAAGTATTAATTAATATTGATTTAAGCTGGTAATTAATGGTTAATACTACTACCTCTTTAGGTCAAATGCACCCACAACTACTAGTTTCCATGGAATGACTTTAAATTAATGTCATTCTCAAACAGTACCAAATTAGTGTACTAGATATGCCTATATGGGTGTGTGTGTGTGGAAGTGAGTGAGAAAACAATTCAATTTTAAATTTGTATTGAACTTTATGTCTTAAAGGTGTTGATGAATTCAAATTTTATTATTTTGTTCACTTTAAATGGCATTTGATGTCTAGTATATCAAAATTTTAAATGTAATTAGATATAAATTACAGTTCATTACATGATTTTTCCTATACTAGGCTTTTTCGTTTAGTTGCTTGATTAGCTTTAACTCCGATAACAATTCCTCTATTCGCATAGCCCATTAAGTATATATATGGTGTATAAAACATGTATTTATAAACTAACACACACATACACACATATACTAACCATGATGACAGCTTTGACATTGTCATCAGTTAAGGGATGTTCCAAGTTTTGCTGTTCCATGTTTTGCTGTTGAAAGTGTAAAAGAAAATCAACTAAATACTTTTTATCTGCTTCACACATGTGGCTGCTTTTCTTTTTCTTGTGTTCTTTAATGATCCTGTCCAATATTTCATCAATCTTCCGAAACAGTTTTTCAGACTTAGCCTTCACTCCACTGCACATTTGAAGCAATGTAATGGAAGGAAAGAGATCAGCAATACATAGTTCTCCAGCAAGGTGTATTCCTTCCTCAATAATGGATATTAACTCTTGCTGCGCCATTGATTTTTCACCAATAGCTGCTCTTGCTATTATTCCATATGTCAATGAGTAAATCTTCTCACTGAGATTCACCACCAATCCTTTACTTGAAGATATTGTTTCAATGAATGCTGACACCTCCTCTTCTCTTATGGACCTGAAAGATTGCACTCGCTTTGAGGATAACAGCTCTTCTGTGCACATCTTTCGTAGTTGCCTCCAATAGTCTCCATAGGGAGAGAAAGCAATGTCTTCTCCATTGTAAGCAATTTTGGAAGCAAGAGTTTGTGGCCTATTGGAAAAGATGGTATCATGTGTTTTCATTATCTCTTTGGCTATTTCTGGTGAAGAAACTATGATGTGTGATACCTCTCCTAGTTTTAGGTGCATTAAGGAGCCAAACTTGGTGGCCAAGTTTCTTAGTGTGTGATGAGGCAGAGTTGAGCCAAAAAGTTGGTGTAGGTTTCCTATGAGAGGGAGCTTCCATGGCCCTGGTGGTAAATTGGTGGTGGAGTTCTTAGATTTTGATCTTTCTAGTATTTTATGTAACGCCAAGAGAAGGAGAAAGGCAAATAAAACATTGAGAATGAAAAACTTGTCCATGGTGGTAGTCTTGTAAGTTGAGAGTAACTGTAGAGAAAGGTGTAAGTTGCAAGCACATAAACATTGGGTGCATGTGTTAAATAATAAATACTGATAATTGTCGTGTAGTAATGAAATTGTGTAGTCTCACAATTAATTGGTTGTTGCATGGTGAAATTAAAATTTCAAAGATGATATAACTAGAAAATTTCTGCTGAATGTGGCCGTATTCTAACGAGCATGGACTAATTTTGGTAAGTGCTGTAATTCCCTCTAGCTTGAAAACAATCCATATATGAATATTTATATTACCTAACGGCATCAATAATTTGGGGTTTACTGACGTGCTAAAAATTTCTGCAATCCTTTTTGATGCGTGAACGTAGCCATTTTGATGAACGTGCAAAACAAGGTAGTTCAGTTGAATGAAATTTGGTGATCATGAGCCCTTAATCAGCTCTAAGCTGATGCAATATCATGAATGAAAAAGTCAAAACCATAGCTTCAACATCTGTTTATAGAAGCTTGACGGATTTAAATAATAAGGAGATATGAATTACTCTCACCAATTACTCTTATTGGTTTAACTTGTACATCCCTTAAGTGAATGATGTGATTGTTAAATGTTAACCTGAACATTTAAGACCGCATATAAGCAACTAAAAGTGATAATTTTTTATTTAAAAAAATCATTTATTATCTTAAGAATATAAAAGTCTAATAAAGATTATATTTTTAATAAAAACATTATTTATAAGTGCTTAGATTTAATCTTAAAGACTGAAGCTAATAAAACCAACTTTTATATATAAGAAACAAAAAAAAAGCCTTCCATTTAAGTAGAACACCGATAATTACAAACATCACCATCCACTTTTTCCTATTTTCCTCTCTTTTCCACTTTTTTCTCCTACTCCTAAATGGTGTTGCTTTTGGTGATCCATGCAAAGACAAAATGTTTCTGTGCCAAATATTTTTCAATTTACCCTTCTTTGTGAAGAGTTCAATCCAGGACTGGCTGCATCAGCTCTCATCTTCTTATTCACTGTAAAAGGGAAACAATCCATATCAAGTGAACCAGATGATGAACCATAACTAGAACTAGAAAAGGAAGTATCACTATCTAAGGCATCCAAGAGACATACTAGTACCCAATTTGTGAAAAGAAGGAAACTTTCTCTTGAGAACTCCAATGGGTTCAGCCAGTCCTGTTGGAAGGTTCCTCTGAACTGCTCCTGGTGAATTTTGATGCCCATTGTCTGTAATAGTTCTGTCCAATGTTGCTTGTGAATTGTACTCATCTTCATCACTGTCTTCTATAACAATAACAGCTCCCACTCCCAACTTTCCCTCTGCTGGCATCAAAAAACATATTAGTCCTACATGATTGTCTATTTTGCCAACAAATACTTCAACCAGAAGCTTGGGAAATGAAGAGCATTAGACTCTCCGACCCAATAGAACATGATAGTTTTCCAGCATTCATGTAAAATTCAGCCTCTGGCTATTCAATTAGTTGAAGATCTATGCTTTTATCAAATTTAGCTATACGGTAGGAAACAATCTTGTAACATAATACTTATAACTTTCCATTAAAAGTGAATTTTACTAATTCAAATGTAGAATTTAAAGTTATCATAAAGTATATCAAATTTACAAAATTTCACGCAATGCAAAAAATAATTCATATTTCATCGCATCTCTTTATTTTAACAAAAATAAAAGCAAACTGATATTTAAATTTTGTGAACATGATGACAATATTACATAAATTAATGACTGAATTGATATAATTCAATTTTTATAAAAAGTTATTAGAATTGTCATTTTACAATGTATGACACTAGTGTCCAATAGATATAACCAAAAAGGAGGAAAGGCAGCTTAGCTCTATGAGAGAAGAGAAAAATAGTAACATGACTTAAGTAATACCACAACTCGCATCTCATAGAATACTCATAACCATGACCTTGCTAATCAAATCATGAGCTGAACATCAAAAGAAGGAAATATGCACAATCCTGTTTGACATAACTCTGTTTTCATGCATTTCATTTTGGCCATATAAGTGGAAGAAGGATAGGAGCATGAGGATTGGACTGCTAAAATGACAACCAACAAAGACCAGAATTCACAAAAGACATGATTAGAAGATAAACTTGTTGATAGCTGGAGCATTCAGCAATTTAGCTAAAAGCATAAATGGCACTGGTAGAGTTATGTAGAGAAATCAATGGACCTATTTAGGAAAACTGTTGGGTCTAAACCAATGGGACCCCCATTAAAAACATACCAAAGAAAGAGGGGCAGAATAGGGAAGTCAATTCAGAAAACCGTTAGGCAAGATGCTAACAATCTAACAGACGAGCGGACGTGGCAAGGGGAGGAAAGGAGAGATTGTGTGGAGTGAGAGGGAATATATGGGGGTCACACAATTGAGAAGGGGGGGCATTTTTATCTGGGTGGTTATTGGAAGGATAGCTGAGGCTATAGGAGTTCGCATTCTGTTTTTCGTATTGCTGTTTGTTCTTGTAATTCCAGGGTTTTCCCTGTGTTTTGTTCTGTTATTTCAATATAAAACTCAGTTTCTATCAAGTTGGTATCAGAGCTCCCAATCCTAGGAGCGCCTGATGGTATCAACTAGAATGAAGAATCGGTTGGAGAATGTTGAACGGAGACTTGAGGGCATGCAAGGTGCCATGCAAAAAGAGTTTAGGAGACAAATGGAAGAGATGATGACGGCTAGGTTCGAATCAGCCTTACAAGTGGTAAGGGCCGAGAGGGAAGATACGAACCATAACCAAGGGAGTGGCAATGGCGAGGGTGACGCGTGGAGAAGGGAGGAAAGGGAGAAGTGAGTGGAAGTGCCTTATTTTGCGGGAGATGATCCGTATGGGTGGGTGTACAGGGCAGAGAGATACTTTGAAGTAAATGGTATTCCCGAAGCGGAAAAGGTAGATCCGGCGGTGGTGTGTTTGGAGGGGAAGGCACTCAACTGGTACCAATGGTGGGCACCGCGAGTTCTGATGCCAGCATGGCCTGCGTTCCGGCAAGCCCTATTGGGGCGTTTCCAGTTGTCATCTTCGAAGAATCCCTATGAGGCGTTAATGGGGTTAAAACAAAGAGGAACCGTTTTGGAATACAGGGAACAGTTTGAACTATTCTCTAATCCACTGCGTTTCGCCGATGAAGAGTTTATGATTGGGGCATTCCTTAATGGGTTGAAGGAAGAAATCAAGGCAGAGGTAAGGCTGAGAGACTCTGGGGACTTGAGCACGTTAATGGAGATGGCTCAGAAGGTTGAAGAGAAGAACAGAGTCTTGAGCCTTTCGTTTGGGCCTTCTTTTAAAGGGAGCGGGTTAAATGTTAAGAAAAGTAGTTGAGCTGAAACGAGTGGAGCCCAATACGCACCAAGGCAAAATTGGATCCGAAGGAATGAACCCAATACATCTTTCGAGCTTAGGAACTCTACCCATCCCAGCGGCAATCGGGTTGAGACGCAAGGTAACTCGAATCAGTCTCGTGACCTTTACGCAGCACTCACAAACAGAAGAGGTCTAGGGTTCAAACGTCTCACCGAGGAGGAAGAAAACGAGAAAAGGCGGCGAGGGCTCTGTTTTCGTTGCAATGAACAGTATTTGCCAGGCCACGTGTGTCTCAATAAACAGCTCCACGTCATTTTGCTGGGAGAAGAAGACGCAGCCCAGGACGACGTCTCCGGGGAGGAGGAAATGGAGGATGTCAATCTCCAGCTCCAAGTGAGGAGTATCGTAGGTATGACCTCAAAAAATTCCTTGAAACTATGGGGAACGATCGCTGGAAAACGGGTAATCATGATGGTAGACTCGGGAGCCTCTCATAATTTCCTATCTCCGAGTTTGGTGGAAGAGTTAAAAATTCCTTTCGAGGCAACGAAGGGGTATTTTGTTGAAGTAGGAGATGGGCAAAGGTTGGGAAGTCAGGGTGTTTGTAGAGGAGTGGTGTTGGAACTACCAAACTTACAAGTTGTTCAGGACTTCTTATTCGAGTTAGTAGGGGTGGAGGTGCTACTGCGGTACGAATGGCTTAAGAGCTTGGGGAAGTTCACTGCAGACTTGCGCCAACACTAAATCGAGGTACACAAAGATGGGAGAGTTATTGAGGTGAAAGGGGACGTGGGGCTGTCTCGAACAGTGGCTTCATTAAAAGCCATAAGGAAGGAACTTAAAGGGGAGGCTGAGGCCTATTATGTGAAGTTAGGGATGATTACGATGGACCGCACTGAATTGCCCACTCAGGTCGCACCGACAGTTCCTGAGGCTATGAAGAAATTGTTGAGGGAGTTTAGTGATTTATTTAAAGACGGAACAACACTCCCTCCCCCAAGGGAGTGTAATCACGCCATCTTGTTAAAGGAAGGGGCCACTATTCCTGACATTCGTCCGTATCGGCATCCTCGTCGCCACAAGGAAGAAATTGAGAAGTTCGTCAGAGATATGTTGGCAGCAAGCTTGATCAGACCTAGTACTAGCCCCTACTCCAGTCCATTTTTAGTTAAAAAAAAATATGGCAGCTGGCGTTTCCGCGTTGATTATCGTGCCCTTAACAGTATTACTGTTCCGAATAAATTTCTTATCCCCGTCATTGAAGAACTGTTGGATAAGTTGGGAGGGACCACTGTCTTCTCTAAACTCGACCTAAAGTCAGGCTACCATCAAATACGTATAAGGCCAGAAGACATCTCTAAAACAGCCTTCAGGACGCATGAAGGGCACTACAAATATGTGATGATACCCTTTGGGTTAACGAATGCCCCCTCAACCTTTCAAGCTTTGATGAATCAGATATTTAAACCCTATTTACGTAAATTTGTATTAGTCTTTTTTTATGATATTTTAGTGTATAGCTCAGATTACTCTTCCCACAGAGACCACCTGGAGGTAATTCTACAGTTGTTGAGAAACCAAGAGCTTTGGATCAATGGTAAGAAGTGTAGTTTTGGA